TTGTTACTCTTTCATGCAAAAACTACTGAACGGATTTTGATGAAACTTTACAGTATTATTGTTTAATAACCAGAATAACATATAGGCTATAATTTATGACGATCTATGATAAACTAAATTTGACGAGGGTGAAGCCGCGGGCAAAAGCTAGTGTATAAATACATCAACTTAAAACAGAAATGACATTAATATCGTTGTAATATATGTCATCGTAAAATTGTGAATTCCGTCAGATTTGAAGTTAGTTAGATTGTAATCTAACATAAACCTAATTTTGACAGTAACTATGACGTTAACCGGTGTTTTTTGTATGGAGTTTGACAGATTTTTGACGTTTGTCAAAGTTGACATGTACAAAACATTATTTTTTGGACATTATATTTTGATTGAATTTCAAGTTGTTTTTTAAAAGGAAGTAGGTAGGTAATCGCTACTATGTTGGTATTTGTTTATTTTATAACAAGTAATCGTCGATTCTTACGCCGCTCTCCTAACAGTAAGTAGAGCATGTCTAATCTTACTGTGTAACTAACAGTTATAAAAATAACACATTTAATGTAACAGTTATAACAACATAAACAGTGATGTACAATTAGTTTAGTCTGCTATAAATTCATTTTCCAAACCACTTTATTATACTGGCAGACAGACAGGCATAATTGAAGAAATACAGAAAGACTCAGCTCAGTAAAGGAGCTACGTTCATTAAAAGTAAACAAACCTTTAATTAGTTAGGTATGTTTTGTTTCTTTCACAATACTCATGGGAACTGATAACTAATACTTAGTCGCGTGATAAATTCATTGAAGCTATCATAGTGTAGGAATTGTTATTTGCACAATAAGTATCCCAAAATATAAGCATTGCACAAAGGATTTTTCAGATAAGTAATTTAATAATTTTAATTTGAATATCAATCGCGATGTAGGTACATTTTGTTCGGTAAACGGTATAAACCAATGTTTATACATAGGAAATAATGGCAAATAATTTGCCCTTAATTGTAAGAGCTGATTTTACCATCGTCTTAACTTTTCACTGAAGATTAAACTTGTAATTTTGACATATTTCCCATACTAAAACTGTCAATGTGCCAAACTTATTCTGAGATTAATATTTACACTAGTTTGGTCGAATCCACCCTAAGGCGGATAAAAATAATCTTACATTGTTCTTATGGGTATTTCTCATCGCCACGGTTCTCATCGTCACCTTCGTGGCGAATTTTATTTCTAACTTATTTCAACTTTTTGTAAACAAAAATTGTAGCGCTTGATGTGAAGATTGTATTCTCAGTAAATCAGTCAAATAGTGAGTCTCGTTTGGAAGCTTTAACGTTTTGAATTTTTTGATGCCACGAAAGTGATTCTGTACTTCACAGCAATAATTTTTTCAAACTTTACTACTGTAANATTGTATGCCTTTTATTATAATTTATTTCTTTAGTGTCGACACCGCCTTCCCCTTCATATTTGTTTCAAGTAACTGTCCTCACCATAGGTTGTCTGGAAGAGATCGCTTCATAGCGATAAGACCGCCTAATTGTACCTTGTGTGTTCCTTTTCTTCTGTTATGTTATTTGTTTGGTGTGCAATAAAGTGTATTTATTATTATTATTATTATTAAAACCGTGGAAATAACCAGAAGAAACCTTTTCGACGAAGTAGGCCGATGAGTTGTATAGAAAGCACAAAATTTTATCGCGATTTTTATGTCATTCCCATAGTAAAAGTTGATTATTTTTATCAAAATGGTCGCCTCCAATCTGTGATGACAAATAAATTTATTTACAAAAGCAGGAAATTACTCAATGCGTTGAGCTAATACAGTAATTACTTAACGTGGTTTTTATTATGATTAATTAATATCGTTAAGTAATGAAAAATATTAATATAGTTTTTAAAAATAACAGGTAAAAGGAAAGTTGCAATGACGCATATTTAAATTGTTATTTTTTCCCTGATTTAAAACAAGGCTTGATACATACATCACATATTTTGCATGTTGCATCAGGGCAGTAGGTCTGTACCTATATTTATTAGTAAAGTTCAAATTAATTGCATTATTACTCGCTAAGGAAATTAATTTGTACGTTTTTATATAGCACTCAGCCTTTTTAGTTTATTCTAAGAACGTTGGTTCTAGTCTTTCGATCTAGTCTGATTTAACAAATGTTTTTCAATTTTATTTCCTTATCAGATGGAAAGACTTCAATCCATCATAGCGTAAAATCGCTTGAAGATTTCTGTCGTAACAAATAGTGATTAGTAGGTATTCGATGGTAAGAGTTGTCAAACAGCATAACTATTATCTTTTGATAAAGCAGATGAAATTACATAAATTTTCGGTATACAATACATATTCGTTTGGTAAAGGCGAGAAATTGTAAATAAATTGGTGGTAAGTACGAGGGTAGGTCAAAAAGTTATAGGTTACAGAGTAGATTTTCCAGGATTTCGAAGCCCACCCTTTGCACAAAAGCCACTGCAACTTGCACCTTGCGCACGGGCGCAGCGTCGTGTAAAAACAGTACACTTTTGATTTATTTTCGCCACTTTTTTACCCTCACAGCATCTCGAAACCTTTCTTAAAGTGAAGTGTAGTTACGAGTATCTCCTGTTGTAATGATTTTTTTTTATTTGTAGTTAATCAACAGGTTTTCTTCAGTATCCCTGAAGACAGCGGTTATGATTTTTTCAGCCGACGAGGACACCTCGAACTTCATGATCGTGGTGTGCCATTTTGTGCCACTGTATGGAATCTTTTTTGAGTTTAAAGTCATAATTATACACCTAAATTTCATCATCAGTTTCAATCCGGTCCAAAACTTTGTCTTTATTGTCTCTACAGAGAGTCAAAAACTGACGATAACACTCAACTCACTGTGCTTCTGGTGTGGCGTGGGCATTCTCGGTATCCACCTTGTGGAACCTCTAAATAGGCCAATATGGTAAGAATACTAGAAATGGTCATATTTGACACTCAAGTTATTATTCCGCAAGCTGTTTCTTTTTTAAACATCATCCTCCAATGTGATATTTTCATGTTCATGGACGTTTTCTGTTGTGGTTGCTTCGACAGGCCGCCCCGGCTCCGCTCATCTTCAATTGAGTCTCGGCCTTGATTAAAAAGGTTTTTTCCACTTGCAAATCATGGTTTTACCAAGGCAAGAGTCACCATATACTAAAAAATCTCTTTCGAAATAGTTTGAAGAAGTTTTCCTAACTTAACCAGGAACTTAATGACTGCGCGAAAGTAATTTTTTTCAGTGTTATGATTTTTTTCCGGATTGACTTGTTTATTGAATTTTATTTCAGTGAATAATGATCCGATTTGAATGAAACTTCGTATTTATGCTTTTGATGAGTGTGACTACTAATGCCGATAGAAAAAATTTACCTTTTCCCCCTCCATACCCCTCCTTCCGCGAGTCAACTAGAGATTTGATGGGGTTTCAATGTACGACGCACAAAATCACGTCAATCCGTATTTAGGCAGTTTAGTATTTAAATCATTTATGTTTGCAAAAATTAAGTAAAAAATTTCACACGCAAAAATATCTGTCAGTAGTAATTTGCGTGGAAATAGATTCTAGACAGTCACAATAAATGTTGATGAGATTACAAGTAGGTAGGTAGGTATAATGATTCGGTTGATTTAAACACTATGGTCCATAGCTGGTGAAAGTAAACACCGATACATCGATGGCCATAATATGTCTGACTCTTAACAATGGATCATCGAAATCGCTTAGAAAGCATTTTTCCTTTTATTTATGCGTCAGTGTAGGCATGTTTTGTCTAGACGAGTTTCTTTCGACCTCATTTTAGCTTGGGGTATGGAAACCAAATTTATAAATACATCAAACATTTAATATCGGTAGGAAAGCACTAAGTTTGACCAAGAAGTAATTTGTTTGAAAACTTTATTGTTTACAAAATAAAGATTTCAGAATTTGAGTCTTTATTTATTTGATCCAAACCAGATCAAGTTTATGATTGGGGAGTACGCTCGTTTTAAATTGGGCATTTAAACTTTAAATAAGTAGGTTTATTTGGTATCGTATGACTTGTAGATATTTCTAGATTTAGAATAACTGACAATATTGCAACCACGAGCATGGGTACCACGTTTATTTGCTTACTTGTGTAAGGACGTGCTCACTTACAAAACTGTGACTACAATACGCATGTACACGTGATGCATGTTCATATGTAGTATATAGGGTGGTCTGAAAAACGGAGCAGTCTTGAGATTACGTGATAAGATGCTCGTTTATTAAGCAAGTAGTACTCGTATAATACCTATGCAAGTAATGGTTACTTTAATGGGTAAAATTTTATTGAACTTTAAAACATTGTCAATTATGTTTGGAGAGACAAATTTTTTACGATTTTGCTAATACAGTAGTATAGTTTGATGCTTTCCACCAAATATTTGACAACATGTTTACAGATTGTACGCCCTGTATAAAAGTAATAACATTTAAGTATAGTAAGTACTTATTTTGTTAAGTTCATCCTAGGAATTGCGTGTTTGCTCAAAGAGTGTAGGTATTTGATAAATTTATTGATTCCTTATTGTGGAAATGTGGACTTTTATACTATTAGTTATTATTTAGTTGCATTTCTAAAGATAGCGTTAAAGCTATTTGTTGATTACAGGCGGCTAAGTATAAAGCTGCGTAGCCGGTCCAACCAAAACAAACGCTCCAAACAATGCAGTATATATTAAATTTAAGAAATATATTAATTGTTTTTATGACATTTCGATGCGTATAATAAATTCATATTATGTTAGATTATGAATTTTATTGATAGAGGCGGATTATAAGTAAAATCTATCATAGACAAATAACAGATAAATCCTTTTTTATTTATAATAGAATAATAATTGGAAGATAATTGTTTTATTTTAATGTTTGTCTAAAAAATGTATTAAAATTACACTTTTTTTTTTAAATCATATTTTATATAAGTTATAATAAATAAATAACTCACCTCGTATCAACTCGTAAATATCCAAAAAGTGTAAACACACACTTGATCACTTTAAACCGATGCACAGACGTGCAACGCGCGTCACTGCAGGTCGCAAAGCTTTGGCGGCGCGCGCGCTGCCCGCCCCTACTTATAGTTTCAGAGCGCTGTGTAACACTTTCCCCTACCGTACTCTTCTCTAAGAAATTTCTCTTTAATTTTTTTCCGAAATGTTATGATAAATGTGTATGGTGCTTGTGATTTGCCTCGTACGAATCTAGTTTTGAAATAAAAAAAAGTTTTAGCAAATCACCTTGATCTTGAATAAAGTGAACTCGGGTTCACGGTCATGGTTAACAGTAGTATTTTGTTCCGATTAATTCTTTGTTAGACAGCTGATACAAATATGAGCTTTTAAATCAACATTCATGCTTAACGGAAAAATAAATTACAACAGATTTATAAATAGATTAGAATATACGGAAAGATAGATTACAATAGATTACAACAAAATACTTAACACAAGTATGAAACAGCGTTATTTTACCTACAAAACCTTTTTATTCCCTATTTTAGGTTTTCTTTAAAATTAAATTGGAAACTGTGGGTCCTAGACATAGTGCACATTATAATTGCAAACCAGTCGAAAAATGGTCGAAAGGCCTTTTTTTGTATGGAGTTATGATGGAATCGATTTGATCAAAAAGTGCAACTTGTCGTGAAGCAGAAGGGGCTCTTTTAGATTTAATTTTCGGAGTAACTATAGCGCTCCAAGTTTCCATCAGCTCTGTTATTCTGCCATAGCCAAAATTTCACGCTATTTCTTTCTTTTAACACCTNTAAAAAAAAGTTTTAGCAAATCACCTTGATCTTGAATAAAGTGAACTCGCGTTCACGGTCATGGTTAACAGTAGTATTTTGTTCCGATAAATTCTTTGTAGACAGCTGATATAAATATGAGCTTTTAAATCAACATCCATGCCCAACGGAAAAATAGATTACAATAGAAGAATAAGACAAGTATGAAACAGCGTTATTTTACCTAGCTACAAAACCTTTTTATTCCCTATTTTAGGTTTTCTTTACAATTAAATGGAAACTGTGGGTCCTAGACAAAGTGCACATGATAATCGCAAACCAGTCGAAAAATGGTCGAAAGGCCTTTTTCTGTATGGAGTTAAGATGGATTCGATTTTCGATTCGATCGAAAAGTGCAACTTGTCGTGAAGCAGAAGCGACTCTTTTAGATTTAATTTTCGGAGTAACTTTTATTAGATTGTTAATGTGGTATAGCGCCCCAAGTTTCCATCAGCTCTGTTATTCTGCCTTAGCCAAAATTTCACGCTATTTCTTTCTTTTTATGGTAATTATGTCAGAACGTCTAATCTAATTAAGTTCAAAGTTATCTGATGGTTGGAAAGTCGACCCTTGGCTAATGACTAGCTCATTCTGATGTTTCTAGACTTCAACTTCAAGTGACCTTCAACCAAACGTTTGCTCTGTATTGCGTGCTTGCCTCATTCCACATGAACCTCGTTTTAGTCGTAATTGGTACTGAAACACAATATTTTTCATAGCCCAATGAAAATTATATGAAAATATGATACTTATATGAAAGTATTCCCCGGCCACGAGCCGGAAGACGTAGTATGGGCAGGCCTCCCACTAGGTGGACCGACGATCTGGTGAAGGTCGCGGGAGGTGCCTGGATGCGGGCGGCGCAGGACCGGTCTCTGTGGAAATTCTTGGGCCTTTGTCCAGCAGTGGACGTCATTTGGCTGAAACGATTCATTCTCCGATGATGAATCACAATGAAATTCGTGCCTTTCAAGTTACTTAATTAGATATTGTGCGCGTATTTAAAACATTACACAATTAACATATAGCATGAGTAATTTACCATTACCTAATGATTTTTGTTAATAAGTAAAGCTTAGACTGAGTTGCACCACCATACTTTAACGGTAACTATAACTTTAACCAGTGTTTCTTGTATGGAGTTTGATAGACGTTTGTTATAGTTAAGCTACATGTATTAATAAGGCTGTTTGTTTCTTTAATAATGAAAGCCTTAATAACATGTATGTTTGACCTTACGAATAATACCGGAAAGAAAATAATTAAATATATATCTCTTTCGATCGGTTCATAAATATATACTCATAAAATTAAAAAAATGTAAAGTTAATGCTAAATTATTCAATTCAAACTCAAGTATTATTAAGGCCATTGACTAGGCTAACTTTTTGAATAGACGCTATAACAATTTGAAAATACGGTTGGAATATTATTATTTTTAGTCTGATTTTAGGACTTTCAGGTTTCAATCATCATTATTAAAACGATTCTTATGCCTGTATTCACAAACAAACGGGCATTATGAACTATAAGCCACGTAATAGTGAACCACTCTAAAATTAAACAAGTCGTGCTATTTACAGTCAGTTCCTTTTTAAACGGACGCACAAAGTGTAAATAAACATTATTACCTACATAGCAAACAGCCTGAAGTCATCCACAAAGGATGTATAGTCACTTACAGAAACATTAGTTCAGTTTTTTTTTCACTCACAGTTAAATAAAAGGTCATAATAGTCATTTGATTTTTGCAAGCAGGCTTTTAAAAACCACTTAAACACGTCCCAGTATTAACCCTAACACTGCTTCGGGATATTAAATGGGTCAGTGCTGAGAAGAAGCAAGCAATGTATAATAAGTAACTATAAGGCACGTTTACGAATGGATATACGGGTATATAGGTTCTGACATAAAGTGAGTAGTATTGTTAAATTGTTCTATAGAGCTTATTAAAAAAAAATATACTGTTTGCAAAATCGTATGGGTTGTACGGGTCTGAGTTTGCGTACTTAACCTTGAGTCTCCCTTTTGTATGTGAGGAACAAACATAAAGTCAACAGTTTTGAGAGCGAGATAATGTTTGCGGGAAAACGCTGAGTAGCTCGAAAAGGCTTACACATTTAAAAGCCTTGTCCTTTCAAAAAGGGAAAAGACTGCAGCATTATCTAAAATACTGAAGCGGACTAAAGTATGTGTCTCCTTGAACACGTGACATTGGCAGAACCACTGCGGCAATAAAGCCGCGGGATAGTAAAAAAAAATTGTAGTAGAGCCATAAGTATTACACTAATGTTGTAAAGGCGAAAGTAAGTATGTTTGTTACTTCTTCACGTCTAAACGGCTGGAGCAATTTTGATAAATTCTCCTCCTTTGTCCAGTATTTAGTATATCTCGATTTAGATATTCTAGATTCAATACCCAGTCGGTACACTGGGACACATATTGAGAAAAATCACTTTGTGTTCCGAGTTTGACCAAAAATAAATTCCTGTATTTGAATAACTTTTATAAAATTTATTATAATGATGATTGATTTTAATTTAGGGCATCATTATCATAAAATATCTTTATTACTTTAAATTTATNGAATTTATTCCTGTTTTTGATATTGACATAGGTAATAAGTGGTACTGGTATTGTTCAACTCTATCCATGTCTTCCAATCTTTTCCAATGAAAATTTAAACGACGTTTTGTCTTATTTCTTTTAGATTAAATCATCAATTTGTAAGATTTTCAAAGCGCCTTCAGAGTTTTTCAAGCAAAAACAATGCGATGTGAAATGAGCGTCACCGAGAGAGATGAGTAATTGTTTAAGACAAAAGTGCAAAAGCTGGTCTATTTTGCATTAAGCATAATATTTTACCGGTTTTATGGACCGAAGATCTGGTAAAGGTCGCGGGAAGAGCCTGGATGCGGGCAGCGCAGGACCGTTCATTGTGGAAAACCTTGGGGGAGGCCTTTGTCCAGCAGTGGACGTCATTTGGCTGAAACGAATAATATTTTAAATTGTTTTTATTTAAGAGTTAACAGGTGTTATTTTTTATGCTATAGATAATATTTAAAGCTTAAAATCCTTAAAAATAAACAACCAAAAGTCGAGTAGGTAGAATCACAAGGGCGTGAAAGAGGGTGCAAACTGCAATGTAACAATAAAATACTTACTCTCCTCAATGTAGGCCGTTTTATTTAAAAAATAAAAATATACGAATTCATATTAGTTAAGAAAGGTTTCTTTAATCTAGTTATTTTATTTTACACCATTCTTAATTCTCGAAACGGAACTAGAGAAACTCATAAATTCTGAAGGCGTCATGGCGAGGAAATTTTTTTGGTGTAATTTCTTGTTATAAAACAATAAAGTCTTTACCTAAAATAACTGTGTACCTTTGTACAAATAATATAATAGAATAAAAGAAGTTGGTAAATAGTAGGTAGCGCCTTAAATTATTTACACTACATTAACCAAGTTTTGGAATTGCGTGAATTTGCTGGTAAATACAGTCAGGGACACTCCCTTTATTGTTCTTTAAATAAGCGGACAACACTGGTTCATTGTACTTTAGTTATTTTTTACTGAACTAAGTTATCTAAATGTTAATTGTTTCAGGAACCCAGGGTCATTTTGCATGGCGTGTGGTTATCATATAATGTGGCGCCAAATGCGACACGCTATCACACCCGCACACAGAATTACGGTCAACTGGCTCCTAAAGTACCTATCTACTTAGGCAAACATCCCGACTCATTTATTTCTAATTGCTTTGCCTAAAATGTCTTAGCTGTGGCTCCGGTGGGTTAGTTCCCCTATGCACCAGTTCCGCTATGCACCACTCTTAAAATACAAAGTAGGTAATAGGCACTTTTTCGTAGGTATTTTATGATGTAGCACACATCAACCCGGAAAGGGATTGTAAACGTATCAATTCGAGGCGGTCAGTATACAGGGTGGCCAAAACAGTGAGGTCTAAAAGAAAAATTTAGATTCCTTACATCAAGGTGTACCTAAATCACCCCCATGTATATAAGACGATTGTGTTTAGTTTAGGAGATAGAGTTAATTTTGTGATATTTTAAAATTTTATGACCTAGTTTAGACCTAGGCTTTAAACATTTTTATCTTTTTTTTGGGTTGACTTTTTTCAGATTTCTTTTTTCGTTCGTTTCGAAGTTCCCTTCCACCTTCAGCCTAATCATCAGTTTCCACCAGGTGTGATAAAGGGCAAGAGCTTCCTCGTTGAGAATAAATACATGTTCTGTCCAGTTACTGCTCTAAAT